TGCTCATCTGCTTTATTGAACAGCAGGGGTCACCCAGAAGGGCTGGGCACTGAGGGCCTGACAGCTGCAGTGGTGCACCCTCAGCACCCTGGCACTGAAGTGCCAGCCATGACACAGGGAGGGTCTAGATAGCAGGCGGCCAGCAGCCAGCTCGCTGTACCGTTGCTTCCCTACTCGGCAGTGGTGGGATGGTGGAGGCAGCTTCAGGTAGGTGGACAGAGAAGGCCTCCCCCACGAGGGAATGTGCGCACAGCAACTCGGATGAGCACGCCTTGCGACGCAGAGAGTGGCGAGGCCAAGGCCTCACACGCAGCCTGCAAAGGGGAGTGTTTGCTGCTACCGCTCCACTACAAACACTGATGACTGATTTGGGGGCCCAGCCATGGTGGGCAGGGGAACTGACAGTGGTCAGTGTTTCCCAAATGAGACCTTGTCTCCCAGTAGTTTAGCAGGTTTGAGGCTCAGATAGCACTTAAGGCTCACGCGCCCCCGCTGACGTCATGGAGTGAGCTCTGGCTAGGACCCCGGGCCCCAGGGCAGTCGCTTCTCTGCATGGACACGACTGCCCGCGGGTCAGCCACCGCGTGAAGCTGTAAGGTGCACAGGCAACGAGAGCACTTTCCCTGGCTGGCAGGCAGCCGTTTCCGCTCCCGCCGTTCTGCAAAGGCGCCGCCTTACTTTTATAGCGCATCAGTGAAAAGCAACTGGCCAGGGGAAAAGCCAGGTGCCGTGAGGATGATAACAGCAGTCGCTGCAGCCACACAACAAATGCTGACTCCTGTGCTTGTCCTCGGCAGCCCCTCGTCGTGAAGTAGATGCCTAGATAAAGGACTCGATGTTGCCTTCTGGTGGCTGATGCTTTTACTTTGTTTTGATCTTAAACAGAGAGCGAGGAACGAGCACGTTTCGATTCCAGATGTGGAGTCAGAAAGAGCAGTCCCCCGTCTTCGCTGCCCGTCCCTCCAGTACTTCAGGGAGCATTTTTTAGCTCCAGGGAGGCCTGTGATCTTAGAAGGCGTAGCAGATCACTGGCCCTGCATGAGGAAGTGGAGGTGGGTGACTGCCAACGGCACCAGGTCCCCTTCCCACTTTCACTTCCCCACAGACTCCCAGAAGTCCTCCTCCCACCACCCCCAAGTAAATGAAGCCTCACAGATCCTTCTCCAGCCCCTGGGGTCGATGACACAAGCTGGTGAATGAGAAAAGCAGAGTGCAGTGACTGTGCCAGAGGAGGTGAGGCCTTTACCTCTGATGCGGTGCTTTCCCTGAGCAGCTCTGAGGGCTTCGGTGTGGCCCAGTGTTCAGCCTCTTCTGCAGTTTTGCGAGATCCAAGAAATAAGAACCCAAGAGACAGTCACCTCCCTGCCCCAGGGCTCCATGGGCTGTTGCCTTTGCTCCCCCACGTCGTCGGCCTGTGTCTCCCAAGAAGCCCGGCATGAGTAAAAATTCTGACAGCATTGTCCCAGCACGCCTTCCTACTTGTGTCTCACCATGTGCCCGGCTTATCACGGCCTGACTGCTCAGCAGGGCCAGGACAGGCACTTGCCATGTCCTACCTCATTTTACCCACCTGAGCCCATGGGCCAGACACTGTCATCACCCTCCTGTTGCACCAGGGCTCAGAGAGGTGAAGTGACTCATGCAGGCCCACCAGTCAGTAACCTGCAGGGCTGCAGTAACCTCCAGGGCTCCAGGCCCTGGAGTCCCATCCCCAACCCACCCCCATGTTGTCTGCCATTTCTCAAAGGTGTCTTCTCAGCTGAGTGACCAAGGGAGAGAGAAGTTGGAAAGCTCTTAGCAAGCCGAAGTAGAGCGGCTGACAGGACCTTGGCAAGCCAGGCTCCTGGGTCTGTTTGCACAGCCAGGTGCCAGCTGGCAGGCGCCCTCACCTAAGTCCATGGCCTTGTCAGTCACATGGCTCACAGTGGTCACTCCCAGGAGAGGTTCTGTGAAGATTAGCAGAGACCAGCGTGAGTCGCTAATGCAGTTCCCAGAAGCTGTCAGCAGTGGTGCTGTGGTGTTTTCCCAACAGTCTGCCCTATATCCAAGAGGTCGCTGGCTGCCGCACTGTCCCGGTGGAAGTTGGGTCCAGGTACACAGATGAGGAATGGTCCCAGACGCTCATGACCGTCAGTGAGTTCATCAGCAGATACATCACCAGCGAGGTAAGTCCAACTCCCGTCCTTCCCAGGACAGCATACAGCATCTGGGCAGATGACCTCTGGCCAGTTTCAGCGTCTGTGGTCAGCAAGCTGCTGGGCAGGCGGGATGTTCCAGACCTTTCTGTGTAGCTGAATGGTTTGCAGTGCATTCAGAAGATTGCACAACCATCAGCACTGTTAGATTCCAGAACTTTTTCTCATCACCCCTAAAGAAACCCCACACTCAGCAGTCACCCCATACCCCCTCCCTCCAGCCCTAGGGAACCAAGAATTTGATTTGCCAATCTTGGACATTTCAGCATGTGACTTCAGTGTCTGGTTTACTTCCTCTACCTATCTTTCATCCTCGACACCCTGACTTTTGTTGAGTTGGGATTAGCCAGTTATACTTTAGTGTCGATGGGAGTGTAGAACACAGAACACTCTCAGCCCAGTGTGGTCGATAGTGTCCTCCGGGCTAGCATAGCCTGAAGGCACGTATTACATGAGAGTGGCCAAGGCTCAGAGCTCAGCATGCGGCCTACAGTTTATAAACACTCAATGTTTGTTTCTGGGAATGAGGGGGAGGGATGGAAAGACTGTGGTTCTCAAAAATCCTAGCCAGAAACTTTCATCTACTTGGATGTTGTTCACCTCAGAGCCCTGAGGCCAGAGCCTTCTCCACCCTGGTAGAGCTGGGGATAGTGTGGGGCCTCAGGCTTTTCTCTCCCTTGGTCAGCTGAGAAGACACCTTTGAGAAGTGGTGGACAGCACAGGGGTGGGGTGGGGATGGGACTCCAGGGCCTGGCACTGACTGCAGCCCTGCAGGTTACTGACTGGTGGGCCTGCATGAGTCACTTCACCTCTCTTAGCCCTGGTGCCCCATTTGCCAACAGGAGAGTGATGACAGTGTCTGGCCCATGGGCCCAGATGGGTAAAATGAGATAGGACATGCGCCTGTCCAGGCCCTGGTGAGCAGTCAGCCTGTCAGTGAACCCCGTCAGCAGGGAGCCTGCTTTGTAACACATTTATTTTTTCACCTATCTGATTGGCACAAATGATTCTCTCCAGGGCAGGCAGAGGCCAGGAAGGTGGCAGTCACATTAATTATAGGTGATTGCCAATAGTATGAATGATTTAACTTTTAGGAACACAGCTTGGCAGAAGCTATTAAAATTAAAACTATACGAGAAAAAAAAAATTGAAACTATACGTACTCCTTGACTCAAATGTTTTATTTTTGGACATGAATGTAAGGAACAGAATACTAGGCTATATCTTATAATTCTGTAGCAAAACCACCTGAATACTTGTAATATTACTAATGATGGATCCTTGACTAGTTGGCCAAATGTGTATTTGTTGAAAGAATGAGTCAGCTACGTGTGTACTGACCTGAAAACATTCATGGGTTAAATGAAAAAAGCAGATTTCAGAGTAGTATAGAATATGACCCCATCTTTATTTTTAAAAGTTTGTGCTTATATGTAGCCCCATCATTTTTCATTTGAGGAAACGGGTCTGGGTAGCGGTAACTTGATGCGGGACCACCTGGTAGCAGTGGCAGCACCAGCCCGTCTCTTCTTCAGCCCAGTCCACTCAGTTGCTGAGGGAGCTGCTTCTGGGAGGGAGGATGGGGATTAAGCAGGCCAGGAGGACCCGCACAGGCTGGGGACGAGTGGGCAGGGGTGGGGGGTATGCTCAGAGCCTGCCAGACAACAGCAGGCCCACGTGACTCACTGGGTTTTGTGTTGCCTCCGCTGTGCTTCCACCTGCGGACCAGCCCAAGGACATCGGGTACCTGGCTCAGCACCAGCTCTTTGATCAAGTAAGTCTGCACTCTGCTGTCTTCACCTTCTCACCTCAGCTCCTCCCTTCCTAGTTCTGACCCCAGAAGGCAGAAAAGGGTGGAGCAGCCCCATACCACCCACCACGACCATCAGCCTACAGGCCCCCCAGAGCTCTGGGTCAGGAAGCTTGACCACCTGGCTGTGCGATGGGAGAAAATCAGGCCACACACTGTACAGAATGCTCTTAACTGTTTAAAAATAGGGAGAAGCACCACCAAACATGACATGATTTGAGTAGGAGATGGCAAGTGCTGTTTTTCCTTCTCTTTTCTGCCATTTCCAAATCAACTACAACACGTGTGATCATCGTAAGGTGAATAAGCAATTTTAAGCACAAAACAAGAGGGGAGTCAGACTACATCTCCAAGCTGGCAGGCTGTCCTGGGGGAGTGAGAAGGGAGCTGTGCTTGGGGGAGGGGCCGTACGACACAGCGAAACATGGACTAGTCATGTCATTACAGAGAGGACATGCAGATTGGGCCCTACAGAGAACACTGAATTTGGGGATAGTGTGTCCCCCAGGACTGTTCTCAACCTTCCTGACATGCAGATCCCAGAGCTGAAGCAGGACATCAGCATCCCAGACTACTGCAGCCTGGGCAACGGGGAGGAAGAGGAGATCACCATTAATGCCTGGTTTGGTCCCAGAGGAACTGTCTCCCCACTCCATCAGGATCCCCAGCAAAACTTCCTCACCCAGGTGGGGTAAGCCTCTGCCTCCCCAGCCCCCAAGGTGGCCATGCCTTCCACCTCAAATACTAGTGACACCAAGTCCCATCAGACTGGACAAGTGAAAAAGGAGAAATGGTGTCAAGCCTCAGGGTGCAGCACTGTCCAGTCAGTCATGCTATTTCCTGATGTTGTGTCTGCTGGGCATGCTCTGTGATCCCCGCAGCAGCCTTCAGGGTCTAGCTGAGCAAGAAATGGAGTGAGGGGCCCATCTCAGGGGAGTGAGAACCTCACTCTGCCCAATCCTGCCTGCCTCCATCAGATGAAAAACAGGCCACTCCTCCCAGCCAGAACCTTCCCTCCAAATGAGTTTTCTCAGCCACTGCAGGATGTCCTGAGACCCAGACAGAGGGGCATTATTTGCTGTGAGTGGGGGGGCATCTGTTGTAGTACCACTTTATTTTCATGGGCAGAAAGGTGGGCACATCTTCGAGCACAGTGAACTATAGGGTGACTGTGGGCTGGACGGGAGACTACCTCATGTGAAGACCCCCCTACCAGCATTGTGACCACCTGCCTTCTCTGTACCTTGGTTTCCTCATCTGTGAATGGGGCGATGATAAACCACCCCGAGGGGTGTGAGGATTCCAGGTGTTAATACGTACAAAGTGTTCACCAGTCAAGTGCTTAATTAGTGCAAGTTGACATAGCAGGTAATCAATTCATAATGTATTTTGGAGGAACTTTCAGCCTGGATGAAGGGGTGGGGCTTTTGAATACAGGGGAAAGCATGTGGAAAGGCACAGGAAGGTGGAGGACAGGGGTGAGGCCACCTGCTGACTGACCACTGACAGAGTCACTCTCTTCCCAGGTGATGGGGAGGAAATACGTTCGGCTGTATGCCCCACAGGAGGGAGATGCTTTATACCCTCACGACACACACCTTCTTCATAACACAAGCCAGGTGGGCACGCCGACCTAAGGTGGCACAGCAAGTTCTCCCCCACCCCACCCAGCTCTGGAGACAAGTAACTCCTTTGGCTTTTTTCAGGTTGACGTGGAGAAGCCTGACCTAGAGAAGTTCCCCAAGTTTGCAGAGGCCCCCTTCCAGTCCTGCATTCTGTCTCCTGGGGACATGCTGTTCATCCCGGTCAAGTACTGGCATTATGTGCGAGCCCTGGATCTCAGCTTTTCAGTCAGCTTCTGGTGGTCATAGCCAGGATGACAGCGCTGAGCACAGACAGTGCTATGAGCACTCGCTGCTCCATGCCCCACCTGGTTCTGGGATGAGCCAGGCCAGGTGGAGCCTGTGCCCTGAAGAGCCTGAGCTCAGGCACCAGCAGAACCAGGCCAAAGGCAGCTGAGGTGGAGGCAGGCTCCTGACAGGCATGGCGGCAGAGGCAGACGGGAGAGACCCCAGGACATTAACAGGTGACATTGCCCAGGAAGACTCCTGGGCTCTAAGATTAGCCTCAGACCCAGTCCTGTCACTGAACTGCCATGACCTGGGACAAGATACTTCCCTGTGCTGGGGAGGGTAGCACTGGTCCCCACCACAGAGGGAGCCAGAGGGAATGCGTGCAGGCCCCCTGCTACACTGCTAGTGTTCACTGCTGTCTGCAGTCTTAATGACTGTTACTAGTTCTGTCATAACTGGGTAACTGGGCCTCTGAGGTCAGTCCCAGCCTACAGACGCTGGAGTGTGGCCTGGTCACCACAGAGGGTTCATTCCCCCCACCCCGCAACTTACCCAGCTCAGATTCCTGCTGGACAAGGCAAAGTGCAGGAGCCTTGATGCTATCACTGCCTCCCAAGACTTGCACAGACCACCCATGAATTTTCAGCCATGCACCCTCCCTATAACCAGTTTCTGAATTAAGAAACCACTACCCCTGGCACCCCGAAGCCCTCTGCCTTCCCCCTGCAGGCTCCACCTCTCCAGGAGTCACTGCCACCTGACTCTGCACTCCAACAACATTCACTATGCTGCAAGGTGAAGGGTAATGTGCTGCAAACCACCGTAACATCTAAAAGCTAATAAATCTAAAATGAACAACCTTCTAGCAGAGGTTTCAGTCTCTCGCACTTGGTGTAGAGGAGGGTAGCCTGTCCTGCTAGCAGGATTCCAGCTGGCAGAACTGTAGCAGAAACACTGCACAGCTTTGGGTATTATGACTCAACTTCTAGAAGAATCTGAAGGAGACATTAGAAAGATGGTGGCCACGTGACAGCCAGTGTAAGAAAAACACTTGTTCTCCTTTAACTGCACTTGATACTGTGAAACTGGTGTGTGTAGGGTAGGGAGAGTGCTGGGGGGGGACGTCATACTCCCATTGATTCTGCAATACCAGCCGGATGTCCTGCAACTGATATTTGTAACCAGGCATGGGGGGAAGGGAGTGGGGAAGAGAACAGCACGTTTCCCCAGTTCCTCGCAGAGAAGCCGATCTCAGAAGGGAGAATCACATGTTGGCAGCAGTCAGTGTGGTATGTGGAAACCATGTATGCTGGCCACATGGAGGATGCATGGATGGAATTGGGAAGTAGAGGCCTCTGCTGGATCTGGAGGGATGCACAAGAATTTCCAAGGAGGTCGAGGGATGTGGTCCATGAGTTTAGGACTAAAGGCAGCAGGGTGAGATAGGGAAGTGGAACAGGGTGAAATGCCATGTACAGTAGTTCCAAAGGAAGCGCATGGGTGAGACTCACATGGTGGCCACATGAACCAGCTTTCCATGGTGAGCTGACATGCTGGCCATCACCTGTCTGAGGTCTTCTGCTCTGGTTCCATATGCTTTCCAGAACTGTTTCTGATTTGGAATTTTAAATAGCTGCTGTAACAAAAGGTCTTTGGGGGAAAAGCCACACCTTAACTACATGAAGCAGTTTTCCAAAGTGACTACACAATATGTTTCAGACACTGGCTTCCCTAAATATTGGGTCCTTGTCCCATCCCACCTGCCACCCCACCTCTAGGCCCATTCAGACCAGTTGCCAGGAGGGTCTGGGTTGTGGGGAGTTAAGATCAAGGCTCCCAGAAATCTAGGATGGGCTGGCCAGGTTGGCAGGACAAAATGGCTGAAGGCAAGCTGCCTAGACTAGTGCTGTGCAGGAGCTCTTGCCAGCTTCACCCACCTGGGTTGGCTCCGAGTTACCGTTATCGACAGGAGAGAAGCCTCCTGCAGAGGGGCATGACCATTGACTGAGGCCACAGCAGCAACTTAGTAAATTTTATTCCAAACCTGTTAATGAACATAAAGTAATAAAGGCATGAACAATGAAACAGGCCTCTTCCAACAGGGCCGTATGGACCATTTCCCTAAAGGCAATGAACCCCTGCTCCGGTTAGTGTTGCCTGGATCGCAAGGACTTCTTGTTTGATCTGGAGACACCAGCCTCCCTCTCCTTCTCAGGGTCGAAGACTTCTGTACACATAAAAGGCCAAGAATACTGTGAGTGGCGGGCTGCTACACACACGACAGCAGCCCAGGTCCACAGCTATATTTTGAGTGCCAAAGGCCTTTGTCTCAGTCTTTCATGGTATTCTGCTACCCCTCCCTGCACCCAGTGTGAGGAAGGCAGAGTTGGCTAGCCCATTTCACAGAGTAATGGCTGCTGTTTTCACACCCCCACCAGGGAAGAGGCTTGTTTAGGCCACTCTCATGGGTCTTGGAATTTCTACCGGGTTCTGGAGAGTCCTCTGGAACTATAAGCAAGCCAGTTCTGCAATTAGTGCAGAATCTGCACCACCTGTGGGTTTTGGACCCAGGCAAGTATGTTTGTATGTGTGGACCCCTGGTCTGAGCACTCCCTTGGTACCTCCAGAAGTCAGGGCCCAAACTCATCCTGCCCACCCAGCCCTTCCAGAAGGCTGCACCTGCAGGACACAAACCTGGTATCTCATGGGGCCAGTAATCATTACAGTGGGGGCAGCGGGGCTCAGAATTCGACTGGAAATACTTGGCCACACAAGGTAAATGCATTCTGATACCACAGGTCTCGCAGCTTTGACCCTGAAACAAGAAAGGCTGATGGCCATGGAGCCTTATATACAGATTAGTGTTCATAAACTTTCAGGAAATAGGACGAAAACGTACAGTAGGCTGTTTTTGCCATCCAGGCCCTAGATTAATATTGATGATAACCCAAGGTCCTCAGTACTATGGGTCTTGTAAAGAATCCTGACAGACAAATGCAGATGGAAGGATGACAAGACTGTAAAGACCAGTCTCAGAGAGCAGCAGGGCCTGGAAGTTCAGGCTCCCAGCACTGGCGGCCTTCACATTCTGCAGGCGAGGAAGCTAACTTTTCAGGATGCAACTTAGCAAAGTTAACATTTAAAAAATTCCACTTCCAAATTTTAAGGCCATTGGTTGAGCTGTTTAAAAAGCCCTACAGAGCCCTCCCTGGTGGCGCAACAGGTTAATGCACAGCATACAAAGCTAGCAACAGCAGCTTCAACAAAGTTCAATTCCCAGATAAGGAGCTGACCCACACAGCACAGCAGACCCCTCTTGACCTGCCCACTGCTCCCCTCAGCTGTGTACTCAATCTGCCTGTTCTGCAACCCACTCTGTCTCTGGTGAATCTCGGGCCCATACCACAATTCTGTATGCATTAAAAAAAAAGTAAGCAGTGTAAAACATGACTCAGAAAAATAATGGCAGACACAGAGATGTGTCTTAACTGCCAATGTGATGTTGGCTGGAAGTCTTTGGGAGAGCCTTTTTGAGAGTAAAATAAATTTCAAAGAGCCTTTGGATTAGAATAGAGGGATCAGGGAGAAAAAATAATAGTGGTCATCCTTGGACGGCAGCAAGATGCCCTACAGTTTGGTACAGGCAGAGTTTGTAAGAACAATGCCAACACCTGTGTCCTTTAGAAAACTCCAAAAAGAAGCCATGCAGAGCCTTGGGAGCCCCTCACAGTACCTGGATGAGGAGGCTGTGGCAAATGTTGCAGGTCTTGGCAGCATCAGGACGAGTCTCCCGGATGTACTGCTCCATCTCCAAGATGGCCCGGCCATGCAGGGTGAACTCCCCTTCCTTCTGCGGGATGGAAAACAGGTGGCACTGCTTAAGTGAAAGGTATGTAAGGCCCAATTCCACTGTCCCTTTATGCCCCATAGTCCCACAGCTCAAGGCCCAGACACAAGGTCTAGGTGCCCCATCACCCTGCAGATTTTCACCAGCCCTACCTAGCAGGAGTCTCAAGTGGGAAAACTTAGGCAAAGACATAAAAGGAAATTGAGACAATCCCCCTCCACCAAGCCCACTCCTTCATTTTCTCAGCACTTTATTTGTGCCTTCACAGACATAAATCATGAGTCTGCACTGCTGTCGTATGTGCAAGCCACTGTCACAGATGAGGACACATAGGCCAGAAAGGTAAACAGGTGGTGTTGTCAAGCAGTGAGCCCAAGGCAACCTCCATAGCCCCTCCCACTCACCCCCTGAGAGCAGAAAATCACGTGCCTCCCAGCATCTGCCTGGAGCCTCTGCAGGGACTATGGAAATTGCTTCTGGCCACTTCACTTTACAAAATGGGAAACAGTATAGATAGGCAGGAACAACTCTCAAATCACACCAAGGAGGTTGAAGATGGTGGAATCTCGCCCAGCCTGGAACTGAGCTCAAAGTACAACAGGCTCCAGAGGTCCATTTCTTCCTATGTGTTGCCCAGCCTCTCTGGGCAGCAAAAGGCTGGAGCAGAGGAAATGTCTTAATGATAAAATTGGGTACACATCCCTGCAACACTGCAGCCAGGGCCTGACAGTGTGTGCTAGAAGGCACAGCTTGCAGGTTCACAACAGGAACAGCGGGTGTCCTAGAAATGATTGCTTAGCTCGAGGGGTGGGATAATAGGTGATGTCATTGTTTTATCAGTATTGATTTTTTTTTTCCCCAAGGAGCAAGTATTGTGTGTATCATTTTGGGATTAAGTTTTAAATTAATTCTGTTCCTCTGGAACTTTATCCACATGCCCAACCTTCTTTCAGCAAGAAAATGTTGGTGCTTCGTTATAACAAAGTATAACAGTGAATAAGGTACAACAGGCCTGCCTTTAAAAAGCTTAGCCCAAGAAGAGACTATGGTCAGTTACAACCCCATCTGCCAGAGGTGTTCCACACTGCCAAATCTACCCCAGAAAGGAAAAATTGTGACAAAGCAACTGTGTAGGGCCTAGCCATGGCTCTGGAGCTTGTTGTGTGTGACATATCAACCAGACCACAGAGCTAGAGTTGTTGAACTAAAACCAAGCTCAGGGACAATCACCACAGAGAATGGCTAAGAGGAACCGAGGATATGATGTTCATGTTCACGCCAGAGATCCTGGTACTCAATAAGAACTCCCCCTCACCCTGGCCCTCACCGCTATCAGTCTCTATCTTCCTCCCATCAGAAAAGTACCTCAGGAACCAAATATTTTTGATGAAGCTGCCAGGGATGACCCTTCCACCTCAACCCTACCACACCAAAGAGCAGAAATTTAGAACACTGTGACCATACTCCAAGAGGCAAGCTCCCCCTGAAAGGAAGTGAAGAAGAACTGTGTCAGCCACATGCAGCAGCTTCCAGCCACATGACTGGCCAAGTAAGCCTGATCTGAGCCTGTCCTACACAGACACAGGCATTCAATAGGGCAGCACTGTGGTAAAAGGGACATGAGCTGTGCCTGTCTGACCAGAGTTTGTTGGAACTTTGTGGAAAAAGAACTGAAACATCTGTTCTACACCCATGAGAATTAGACAAAGACATCTAGAAATATGAATCTGCAGTCTGGTCCCTTTAGATTTCCATGGATCCTCTCCAAAAGCTTATCTACACATCCTCCTTGCTCCTTATGGGTTCCTGTCTAAGTTAGAGAACCAAGAGTACTAGCTCCCACTAATATTAATGTTGACAATGGTAACAGCAATCCCTTTGAGTGCCCAGCCCAGCAACTTCCTCTGAACTGTCTCATTCTGCTCACACAGTGTAGCCCAGGATTTAAGTGCTAGTCTGATGCGAGAGGAGTGCCCTTGACCACTACTTTAAGCTGCCCCAGTGTCTAGGACCAAAAGCTTGAACTCTGGAGCCCTCATATGGGTGCAATCCCTGGCACTGCCACTTGCTGTGGCTCCCTGGACAGGTCCCATGCTTCAACAGAAGGTTCCTAATCCTCCACAGAGGGTCATTGTGGCCATTAAATCAGAGAAAGAAACTTTAGGAAAGGGTTGGCCCAAAAGACATCAGTTAGATACAATATGGTCTTGGAGGAAAAACTTATTCTAAAAATACTTAAGTACCTCAATCAGCCACTTGTTTTGTACAAACTTTTGTAGCACTTGCTCAGCTTCCTTCTTCCTCATCTTCTTGCCTTTAAGTTGATCAACCAGGTTCAAAATATTTGTGGAAGATGCAAAACCAGTTTCAGAATCTATAATGAGTTCCAACTGGAAGAAATAGCAGGTACACATTCATCTAATAAATTCTCTAAAACCACGTTTAAGCACTAATACCAACTCTTTCCAGGGGTGTAATAAATCGCTCATATCTCCTTCGGGAAGAATTATACACAGGGATGATCCTTCAGGAAAACAATGTAACTATATGTATCAAAAACTACAAACATAGTTCTTTTCACTAGGTATTTTCTCCTATAACATAATACAAAGAGTATCTTAATCAAGATCATCTCTCTTGCCTCTCCCCCTCCCTGAAGGTAGAAAGGCTAAAAGTGAGTGAATGAAAACATATTAAGGTGTCACCTCCTACTCAAGGTAGTCAGGGCATCATGGCTGACCTGAGTGGCAGGCTGGATCCAGAAAGGCACGAAAGCAGAGCCAGGATGGGCTAAGCAAAGATAACTCGGGAAATGCAGAGGCACTGTTGGCCCAGCAAAGGGTGGCAGACAGATTTCCCTAAAACCTCAGCCCAGGGCAGGGCAGAGCCCCTGGGAATACAGGAATCCCCACCACACACACAATGGTGTGTGTCTGGTCTCTTCAAGCCTGGTTCTCTGGGACTTCTTCCTCAAGAGACTTGGATTCCACAGATGTGGGGTAAAGCTGGACTGTCGATTAATTTTTATCACCCCAGCCATGATTATATGCATCCAGGGCTGAGAGTCATTGTCTTGGCCAGGTGTTCAGCCAGGAGCAAACAGTTCCAAAGTCAGTAGGTAGAGCAGTGCCCCCAAAATATGACCATGCAAATGGTTCAGTGGGCACCTTGTTCAAATTCAGGCCTGAATCTGAGCTCCTAGGCACTTGCTGCCACCACCACACGTACAGATTACCCTGAAAGTAGGCAGTAACGCTCACTCGCATCATATGCCCATGAGCCTGCTTTCGTCAGCCAGTGGAGATTCAAATCTGGACCAGTCCTTTCCCAGGCGGCAAGGGTGACCTCCACAACAATCACCTGGTGGCTGTGAATTCCAAGTAAGGCACTCAATGACACCCCCACCCCCGCAAAGGACTTTAGTAAGGAAAGGGGATAGTAAGTACAGAGGTGGTCCACTGACATTGTAGTTTCCATTTCTAATGGTAAAGAGAGACATTTTCCATAAGAAGCCCAGACAATGGGCAATGAAGATACTATACTTACAGCCTTTCTAAACAGATCCAGTTCATTCTCTGCAAAATCTGAAGCCATTTTCGAAATTGGAGTTGTTGCAAGATTCACCTAAAAAATAAATCAGCATAAAGGTCAGACTAATTCACTTGTTGGTTCTCCTCCCCTCCCCCTATCCCTCAAAAACCACTGATCACCTGTGTCCCAGCAGTGTGGGCCACAAGGCTGGCTTTGTAATCAGTATTACATTACACAGTTGAATCAATAGCCCAGTCATCATGTTCGAATTCTTAAAGAGATTTTAGAACTCCAATGTCTATTCCAAACACAGATGAATCTGGAAATATTGTCTGCATGCTAATGGAGAACACACTGAGAAGTCTAGAAATTCCAAAATCTGGTTACCTGTTTAAACCACCATTTCTCTGGCTATTTGACTCCACAACCCTTTCTTGCAGGAAAGAATCTAGGCTCCTTTGTGTTAACCTGGCTGGTATGAGAGTCTGATATGCCCTGCCCTGTCTAGCCAACAATTGGGGGGGGACGTGCGGGGGTCTTGTCAGTTTCCCCTCACCTATATTTTACCTCATTCCCTATTAGGGGTTGGAAATTTGAAAGCAATGGTAGGTCCCACATGGTCTTAGAATGCTTAGTGCGCTTTTTTAATTTTCACAAGTTTCCCTATCTTGTTCCAAATGAAACAGTATTTACTTCCTTTAATCCTAATATTCCATTTATTTGGGATGATATCTTAAAGAGAATTATCCATAAACAAAACAGTCAATTGGCAGGGGCTCCATGTGGTGCAGTGAACATGAGCACTGAGGTGAAGAGCCTAGGTTCAGGTTCTGGTTATCCCCAATCCTCACACCTGCAAAGGACATTCAGATTCAAAGACCCCAGAGGCTGGGGTGAGCACAGGATGGGGCTGAGCCAGCTTCTATTTCTTGCTCCCCGGTCTGGAGAGCCCATGTTTTACTCTGCACAAATGAGGACCCTGGACCTACCAGTCTCAATCCTACTTCTTCACAAATGCTGCTAGAGGACACTGCTTTGTACTTACCAGTGCATAGATGGGTCTCCCATCATCCTCTGTGACTCCTTTCTTTATCTCAATGTACAGGGACTCCAAGACACTGTTAATATTGTTGATGAAATCCTCCAACTTGTCTACAGTAGCAGTACCTGGAAATAAACAGGCAAAAAAAATAAAAAATGGGTGGGAAGTAAACGAAGACTTCACTCCCTGTGGTATGGTTACAAATGTGCTTAACACCTTCACTCCACGTGCTCTAAACCTACAAATTTCCCACCTCCATGACATCACAGCCCAGCCCCTCTACCTTGTCCCAGTTTCACATACATTTCAAGCCCCTGTCCCTGCAAATCCTCATGTGTCAGGCATAGCTCTATTCCTTTCTCTCTCTAGAGCATTTCCAAACACTGAGCACTTATATGCCTGTTAGCCTATATGCTATTCCCTGAAAATACAGTGAGGGTCAACCACCACCCCAATAAGAATAGGAGCTCACCTAAGCACTCACCATGAAGAGGCCATTTCAGTGTTTTCCATCTAGTAATTAATCCTTCCAATAGCTCCCCCCACACACACTCCCCCACCCCCCGCCCAACGCCCCACAGCAGGCACTAGCAACCTCCTCCTAATTTAGGTGAAAAGCCCAAGATGCAGACAGGAAGCTGACCTCCCAAGCATTACCCTGCTAGGCACAGTGAGCAGCTTCCATACAGCCCAGTGACAACACCTGTGCTCACTGTGTACACTAGCCACCTCCATTTTGCTCCTCATGATAGAGGCTGACAGCCCAGAGGTGAACAAGGACACCAGCAACCACTGTCCTGGGCCACCCCTCAGAGAGGTGTGCAGAGCGTAGAGCAGCATGGCTCCACCCAGTACTACAGGTAACAGGGGTGGATGGAACACTGGCTGACCAGGGAAGAAAGGTGGGCCAATGTGGCTGCAGGAGCCTGGTGGCACAGGGCCTATAGGAGAGCATGTGGCCTTTCTCCTTTGGGCAATGGGAGCCTTTCAGAGTCGCAAGCAGAGGACAGACATAGAATTGTGTCCTGGAACTGCTTTTTTGAACTGTGCTTTCTTACACCATGAGTATATACTACCATTTTTGCTTATTAAAATAATTTCAGAAGATTCGATCTTTACCACTCTGAGAAAAAAAAAAGGCAGGAAAACAGAAAATGTGATACTATTTGTTAAAAACAACTATAAAACCACGGAAACACTACTTCAGGAAAAAGCTCTGGAAGGCTGCCGCCCTAGCAGGTGATCAAAGCCATCACCAGGAAGGGACACAAAGATAAAAGTGATATCAGGGTACTTCAACTTTATATGTGTTTAGTTTCTTACAGAGAAAGGTATTTCTAAGTTCACTGTATACCTAGATGGTTAAAAAAAATCACATTGGTGACAATGAAGATTGTAACATTTCATCAGTACAGTGAAGAGGATGCAATGAGTGACCCAGAAAATTAATATGCAAATCAGAGGGGGGATCTAATCTTCTAGTCTAAGGTTTTCCTTTAAGTAATTTAAATAAATAGACAAATTAGTTTGCGAACATGGTAGAAATCATGACGGTATTGTGACAATGAAACTTGGTCAGAGCTGCTGAAAATGTGGACAGAGGGGAGCCATCATCTTGTGTCCTGCCTCCGTGCTCGCACACCAGGGCCTTGCCTTCTCACCCACACTGTGCCTACTAATGACAAAAGTGAACTCTAATAATATCACCTTCCTTCATTAAATAGTCCCTCTGCCCCCAGTAGAAGTGTTTCTGTGTCTGTGTGCTTTCTTCTCACCACACCACACAAATCACCTCTGTGTTGTGTGGGCATGGCTGTTTTTCCAAGCTTATGCCATGGAGCACCCAGCTGTGGCTGCTTAACCATGGAGCACCCAGCTGTGGGCGTGTAAGACTCAGGCATTCAAGAATCTTCTCTCAAAGACTGAGTGACAGGATCCTTCGTGGGCAGTATGACACAGTGGCAAGTCCCACCTCTCCCCGAAAGTGATAATTCACATTTTCCACTGAAAAGGCCTCTCCTGGTGTCATTAAGAAAAATGTTCTCTGTGGGCAGATCAAAAGCATTCTAATAAGTCGGACTTTCCAGATACCTTGTCCATACAGAGAGGCACTACAAGCACACTTTTCCCCTTTCCTCTACCTGTTGTTAATACGGGCTCATTTTTCAGAAACATGAACTTCTCACTGTATTTTTAAGGAAAAAAAAAAAAAAACCACTTCCTATGACTGCCCTTACTTATTATAGAAACCACTCATCTGCATTCTTCTACCACACGGCTTCTCATATCAGAGACACCTCCACTGTTGGCACTGGACATGTTTCTAGCTCTTTTTAATAATTACTTGAGAAAAAGGTTTTTATTTTTAGCAATACCACCTCCTCAACTTGACTTTTGGGGGACAAGAGGCAGTATGCTGCTACAGGGACAGTTCAATCCCACCCTGTCTGTGGAATCATGATGGGAGTCTCATGCTTATCTCTGAAGACAGTCACTGCCTTGCCTCCACCCTCGCATGTATAATCCACTTTCCCCCAGGCCCCCCTCTACCACCACCCCTCACTCCAACCACCCAGCAGCCTGACTCTCTGGCACCCTGAACAGTCTTCTCCTTACAGACCATCTATGACCAGCCTATGTTTCCACGCTGTCTTCCCACAGTTCCCTAGCACTTCCTGTTCCTTCACAAACTTGCTCCAGTTAGCAAGTTTGCCCATACCCAGAGAACAAAGGACAAGAACCTGGGAAACCTTAGGACCAAATCTTAAGTCAGCCAGGAGTGGCCCACAATAAAGAGATGGATAGAAATAGTTGTAGCTTAGCAGTTACTGACAGAAGCAGCTTTGCCCATGAGGTACTGCTGTGCTTCTTGAGTCCTGCCCTTTCCCCAGCCTGACCCCTAGATATCAGTCAGCCCTGTGTGCCTCTCCCACCGCCTCCCAACACACTCCTTTTTATATTGGCCAGCTTGGGGTTGCTTGCTTGCTGACATGCCCAGCAAATGCCAAGTTACACCAGATTAGTACCTATTAATCTCAGGTCTTCAGACCAACAAATTTTTACTGCTCTGCCCTCATTTCCTCCCCAGTTCCTGGAGTTGCTAGTCTGCAAATCTGCAGGGACACACTGGGCTTAAGGATTTGGCCCCAATACCCTATGAATCCATGGTCATGATAAAGAACATGAGATAGGGCTGTCACACAATCCCCAGGCAATGATTTCCCATCTTGGTTCTACAACATTTGAGGGACTTACGAAAAAGAATAACATTACTCCTCCCAGACCAAATGAGGGAAAAGGAGACTTCAGGTAAGAATTGAAAATTTTTTGCAGGTAGATCAGGGGCTTGGTCCCAACAATACAACCTGCAGTCAGAAACATGGGATAACCAGATTCGAGAAGAAAAAAACAGATCCCTGCGCCTACTACAGCTGCCTCTTCTCAGAAAGCAGACACCTTAGCCAAGACACTGAGAAGTACAAGGGACTATCTATCTTAGGTGCCACTTGTATTTTCTCCACTTGTAAGCAATATATCTGTGCATTTCCTGGGGACTATGAAGAAGTTATAAACATCGAGCTGAAAACAAAAGGTCATTCCCCAGCCAGCGCCTTCCTAGCTATCAATCTAGCAACAGGTGACTATAACTCATGTTTAAGTATGTGTTGAGCACAATTTGTTAGCATGCTTAATCTCATCACTGTAAGAACGAAATTCTGTGAATTTTTAATGCCATTTTCCTACTCCAGAATCTTGAGAGAGGGTAAATACCTTGTTCAGAGTTCCCATAGCTTGGAAACAAAGCCCAGATCTGTCAAACCCAGATCCCAAGCTCCCAGATACTGAACCATAGCCTACGAGTAGGCAAATATTCTCTGAGCTTATGTCTTATACCAGGCCCCTAGAATCATGTTAACAACCCTCTTGAACCTGGTAAGTGGCCTCAGAGTCACAAAGAGGGAGAAGAGGGAGAAAAGAAAGATGGAAAGTACCTGGGAAGCACCTGGCAAAGATGCCAGTGTAATGCAGAAGACAGGCTGTGCTCACATGGCATACCCAAGCTGACGTCCATCATTTCCCCTCCAAAGAAAGAGGACCCAGTCCTCATAACTTAATCAGGTCGCGAGGAGCAGCACATACTGCTGCAGAGAGGGTGCTGAAATAAGAGGCAAAGATCCAGGAGAGGACAGAACAGCTCTTTCTTCAGCAGAGAATGCATTATGTTGCAATTAAAAAATGGAACTCAGGACGGTCCATTGGCTGGTCTCCTCTCTGAGCAGCAGGTTGTGGATTAACTCATTAGAGAGAGTTTTCTCTAATCACCTTTGTCTTTATCATCTTTTCTTTCAAAATTAAATTTTAATTTAATTTTACCAGTGAACATCTTGCTAATAACCAGGATCTCTGCTTTCCAGCTTACTAGAACTTAGTGTTCACTACACAGTTGGGCAGTTAGGAAGTCCGCTACCTAAACTTCTGAACAACAAATAGTTTAGTTCCAAACTAAGCACTAGAGATAGGAAATGCTATCTTTAGGCAGAGGAAATAAAAGCAAAAAATAAGACCTCAGGGGACCAAACCAGTATGGACTAACGTGCCCTGTGACTCCCCTTCTCATCTGATAGGACCAGCAGAGTAATCCTGCTAGGTGTGCCTCAAAGGCTGTTGATCAGATCCAGGTGTTCTGACAGACTGGGCCTGAGAGAACAGAGCCCTGGGCTGGAAAAAGCTGGCAGGTGGAATGAGGAGCTGGAGGTGTGTATGAGGGGCCACTTCTCAGCCTTTAGCTTTCACATCAATTCCTGAGCAGTGATTCTATTAATATTCAGAAATGCAAGTGAAAAGGCCGAGCCTGGCAATGGTACCTCCCACCTTCACTTTCATCTCATCCTCTGAAAATAGGTGGTCACTGTGTTGCTGAGGTGAATGGCAGCTTTGATATTTTGTGTGGTGCCCTGTCCCCACTCCCATCCACCCAAGAACACTCAAGGAGCTGGCATATCAAGGAGCTGATGGAGGTGCTCTGCAGGGGACTGCGCCCGCTTCTGCAGACACCTGAGCAACTTTGCTTTATCCTTATGTACACAGTATGAATGAAGTTCTGAGTTCTGAAATAGGCACCAAG